GAGAAGTAGAACTCTAGCCAGCAAGGAAGCTACTACTCCAAGCCACAAGGATTGAGATTGAAGCCACCTCATCTGGCACTAGTACCACACTCTAAGCTATAACAGTGCAGAAACTATAATCACTGGGTTTGCAACCATGCTAGTTCAAATAGACCAGAACTATAGGTTATAGGCCTGAGATAACTCTACCCATTAAACCTGGCTTCTCTATGAATGTGATTAGACTAAATCCATAGGGTTTTTATCCTGGTTGTTATCACTCCTCTTTCCCTGGCACCTATCCTCTAGTCAACCATTATCTTCATAATGCCATGTACTTCCTTCTTCCTGATGCAGATTGCCACTTCTACACCAGCCCCATTAATTTTACTCTGTAACTTCTGGCATTGTTTCATCACATTCAGCAAATCCTTGTATATCGTCAACCTCAAAATCAAGAGTTCCCTTCACCCAACTCCCCTACCCCCTGGTTGGCTACCAGTGAAGCTTTCATCACACAGCAAGATGAACAGTGGGGTTGGTGGCCTGATTACTCCCATTTCTGCTTTGAGACCATTACTTCTCTATGTTTTTGAAACAAAAATAAAAGCTATAAAACCCAAATCTGATCTTTGAAGCCATTCAATTTTTCCCCCTTGTTCCCTCCAAGTCTCTCATGAATTCACATTTAGGCCACTCCCCTTCATTTATTTATAATCTTGGCCTCTGGATTATGGTTTACAATCTTCCCATTTCAATTCTGCCACTATCCTGAGTAATTTCACCATCCTGAAGGGTAACGAATCTGATATCTTGCCACTCAGTTCCTTGACCTCCTCATCTCAAATAACCTTCTCTTTTACTTTAGTCCATACACACTGATAGCAACACTTGAAATCTTATTACCTGAAACTCCAGAATCAGGAACTAATATCACAAGTTTGAGCATTTCATCCTCTAGGCACAACCTCTTATTCCCAGATTTTCAGTTACTAACCACATGATCATTTCTCAACTCCTCAAATCCATGAATCCCTCTAGGTCCTTCCATCCCATCTAAGCTCTACTTTTTTTTTTTTTGATACCAGAGATTGAACTTGGAACCTTGTGCTTGCAAAGCAGGTGCCAGAACCACTAAACTAAATCCCCGGCCCTAAGCTGTACTTTTCATTTCACTCATTACTTAGCCTAGATTCCAAAAGTTATCATTTCAATAATATTTCTGGCAGAACTCTAAAATCTCTTATCTCAGGTTTCACCACTCCGAGCCCAGATGTAGGGACTACCAGGCCGCCGTTCCACTGCTCCCAGCCCAGAGGAAGGGGCTTCCAGGCCACTGATCCACTGCCCCCAGTGCAGAGGAGGTGAGCTGCACAGGCACCAACAACACACCCCACAGCCCTCCCCCACACCCCCAAATGAGAAGACACGTAAACAAGTCTCAAAACCAGACTTCCATATCACCTACAGCAACCCCAAAGGGAAATGAGATAGAACAGTCTGATACTCAACCACCTGGACTCCCTGAACTGGCAACAAAAGAGGATCGGGAAAAAAATGAAATCAGAAATAATTTCTCAGTTAACAGCAGAGATTGTGCCCATAGTGCAAGACATGATTAATAAATCTGAAGAAAACACAGATAAAAAAATATAGGAGCTGAGGAACATGATGGAATCCCAACATAGGAAACAAATGGAATCCATAAAGCAGATACAGATTTCCAGGAGATCAAAAACTCCATTGAAAGTCTGAGCAGCAGAATGAACCAATGTGAGGACAGAATTTCAGATATAGAAGATAAGATTGCAATTAGTGATCAGGAAAAGAAAAATTTATTCAAAATTGTAAGGGACCATGATAAATCAATCCAGCAGCTGCTAGACGATGCAAAGAAGAATAACATAAAACCGGTTGGAGTCAACAAAGAAACAGGAGAGAGGGCAGATGACATAAAAAACTGCTCTCAGAAGTAATGGCAGAAAATTTCCCAAGCAGGGGAAAAGAACCTGACATATAGATAAGTGAGGCATGTAGGACTCCAAATAGCCTTCATTAAAAAAAATCTGCACATTGGCATATAATTGTTAAAATTCCAGAAACCCAACAGAAGAACAAAGTTCTACAAGCAGTTACAAAAAAGAAACAAATCACACACAAAGGAAAGCCCATCAGAATCACAGCAGACTTCTCAGTGCAAACCCTCAAGGCAAGAAGAGCTTGAAGTGATGTATTTCAAGCCCTAAAGGAAAACAGCCTCCAACCTAGAATGATGTACCCAGCAAAACTATCTTTCAAAATGGATGGTGAAATAAGATACTTTCATGACAAAGAGCACCTTAGGAACTTCATGAATATCAAACTGGCACTCCAAAAAATTTTAGACAATATCCTAGGAACACACAATGAGGATCACAACCCCAGGAAACACAGCAGAATGAACCCATTGGGCACGACAAGAAATTAAGTGTAAAGGTGGAGTATCCAACAAAAAGAAAAAGTCAGGACAATGATAAGTTTATATGCATCAGTTATAACCATCAATGTTAATGGTCTCAATTCACCAATCAAAAGAAACAGACTGACAGAATGGGTCAAGAAGCAAAATCCAACAATATGCTGCATACAACAAATACACTTAATTCAAAATAAAACTCATAGATTGAAAGTTAAAGGGTGAAAAACAATACTCCATGCAAAAGGAACCCAAAAAAAAGCAGGAGTAGCTATCCTCTTTGCAGACCAAGTGGATTTCAAAACAACACTGATTAAGAGAGACAAAGAAGCCAGGGATTTAGCTCAGTGGTTT